AGTTACAGGGGCTATATTGATGAAAACATGGCGTTTCCACTTTGGCTGTATTTATATTTTATTAAACGCGAGCAGACTTTCGGTAATGAAGGAATGCCTTTTCGCTGAAAATGGGGTGTGCATATTTAGTTCTCGGCTGTTGCCAATTGGGTTGCCCAATTTTCGGAATAAATGCCTAATTTGCCCTTTCACAGTCCGAATACTAACACCGAACTTTGGATATGGCTTTACGAATGAAGGCGAAATTTCGAGTTCCAGGTGTATACATATTTGAAGAAGAAGAAGAATCGAGCACCGGAACAATTCGTTTATTATCCTGAGCTTTCAGACTCGTACAGGAGTCCATCGTCAGAGGTAGTGGCAGAAGCAGGACAAGCGGCAGTTATAAGGCACGTAGACCCAATCATCGACCGACGTCGCACGACTGGAGGTGACTACGAAGGGCTCTGTACGCCGGCGCCAGATCGATAAATCGATTGACCGAGTTCTCATCCGAGGCCCAGGCTTCAATCAATTCTCGGCCTGTTTTGTTTCCGGCGTGGGCGACTATTTTGGTGGCAGCGAAGTCAAACTCGTGACCCATTTCGTAGGTGTGGGCGGCCACTTGTGACAATGCGTCGCCTCGCCGCACAGCCAGCTTATGTTCATGTATGCGCGATCCGAGCATGCGTCCAGTCTGTCCTGTGTAATTACAAGGACAATTTTTACACGGAATGCGATACACTACTCCAGATTGCTCTTCAGGTTTTAACCGGTCTTTGATCTTCATGACCCTGTTGCGCATGGTGGCTTTGGGGCGGTGTGCGATTCCAACCCCTAGCTCCGCAGCAATGCGCTCGGTCGCTTCTGAAACACCCTTGATGTATGGCAGAGCATGCCATATCGTCGGTGGCGTTGATGTTTGAGTTCTCTGGTGGCGACCGCGTAGGCAGCGACTTATGAATGCCCTCGGATAGCCATTTTGCACAGAGCCCTTCGTAGTCACCTCCAGTCGTGCGACGTCGGTCGATGATTGGGTCTACGTGCCTTATAACTGCCGCTTGTCCTGCTTCTGCCACTACCTCTGACGATGGACTCCTGTACGAGTCTGAAAGCTCAGGATAATAAACGAATTGTTTCGGATATGGCTTTGTTTTCAAATACTCCGCGGTGTCTGGATGTTTTAGCGAAATTGAGGAGCTTAGATGGCCTTATGAGTTTTGGTTGACCTTTTGCTGCTTAAGTCTAAGCGGCTTGTAACCAGCATACGTTCGCATTTATACTTGTATCATCCTCCTACGGAGGTTCTTAATTCCCTCATTTTTACCCCGGTCGTTTACCATATGACTCGAAAGGCCTGTTTGGAAAGAAAAAGCAACCTGAGAAGAAGAAGAAGAAGAAGAAGAAGAAGAAGAAGAAGAAGAAGAAGAAGAAGAAGAAGAAGAAGAAGAAGAAGAAGAAGAAGAAGACAGTGATATAGTATGGCTCCCAGGTTGTGGTTGTACACCTAGGAATGGGTTTTCAGCTTCTGGTGACAAATTGAGCTAAAGATGTCGAACCTCGGTACTCATCAACAGTCGATGTTTATGCCTCCCCCCTTCCCATAGACTGAGCGAGTCTGGCAAAATTTTGTCCTCGATTATATTAAAGGTCCCACACAGGCGGACGTGAAGTCAGAAATAACATCAAGGACAAGGATAGAGCAGAATTTGAGTAGATCAGAGTGATTTTACGTCAGGAACAGTGTGCAGCCGTCCAACTGTTTGTAGAGCCGGTGCACATTAATATAGAAATGCTGGGAACCATTTTCACCCCAGAAAGAACTCAATATGTACTCTCGAACTACTCCACATTTTCGGATTTACTAGCATAAGCACAATCTTTACTGCTGCACTGACCAGAATATGCTCAATCCCAAAATTTCTCTGTCCAATTATTACTGAGGACGAGAGCTGGGGCCTCAGTAATGACTCATTTATGTCATTAGTGCTCCGACGATTAAGAAAATGCATAAGTATTTCTTTTTTGCCCCATTCTGCATGTCGATCGATACCGTTTAGCAGGTTATCCTCTCATTCAGTAGTCATCAGTCAAAATGAATTATTACTACCATCTGTTTACTAACATGAACAGGTGTCATCCCAAAGGCCTTCTTTTCAGGATGGTCGCCCACGATGCCGATCTTCGGCACATTGTAACTACCGGACTGAATGCTCTGGAAGAGAGCAGGTGACGCCATTGACCTAGGCTGGCTCGGAAAGGTCGGGCTGAGGCAAAATGATGCACTGAGCTCACTGAAGCGTCTCACAAAGCCGACATCCGACCGGCTGGGGTTAACGCCGATCTGTTTCGGCGAAAGCCCGCGCAGCACCCGGTCTGGGCGCATGCTTGAGAGCACATGCGGGTGCAATGTTTGATTGCATGAGAGTCCCATTGTTGTAGCGGCCGAGGCAGATGTCACATGATAGGATCTACATCCCCATCCACCCAACCACTAGGGCGTTCGCAAATGGGATGCCACCACAGTTGACAGGACCTCACCCCCACCGATGCACAGAGGGTAGGACTCCAGTCCCTGATCCTCCACACTGTCTCTCCACCCCTCCCCTTCTCCCTGCCTCAATAGGACAATCTGTCAGAACTTGGAAGGCCGTTGCAAAACCCCATTGCAGCAGATTAGGACATTTGCATGAATTAGTGAACCAGTGAGTCAAGTCGTAGTCGGGAGAAATAAAAACCACAGAAGGCAAGTTTTCAACAGGATTAAATATTGAAGGGCCAAGAACACGTCGAGCAATGATTGCCTGGGCGTTGTACGCGTGAAGTCCCTTGAATGGCATATGTCACCCAAAAAATATACCTAGTCACATACAGAACAAATAATTAGTTGCAAAAGTGCAGTTGAGTTGGCGGATATGTTCACATGGTGCCTCCAGCGTTTGAGGCTAGGTGGTCAGCACTTTTGACCCAGCAGATATAGCAAAGGATTTATGGAATTTACGAAAGAGGTCACTGTTATGGAATCTAACTCTAGCCGTAGTGGCGGTAAATTCCTTGTTTCCCCAGATGCTCAAGTCACTGCAGCATTGACCTTTTGGTGCTTAAGCCTAAGCGATGAGCAACCAGCATACGTTCGCACTTTTCAGCAGGATAAAATATTGAAGTGTCAAGAACATGTTGAACAGTAGAACGCCAGTAATAATCACAAGGAAGAATAAACAAATAAGTGTGAGAAGAAGAATAATGAGGAAAGCGGTTTATTTTCGTGACATTAATGAAAGGAACGTACGAAAGGAGACTGATAATTCCCGAGAAGCTGCTGCATACCTGTCACTGGGGGTATTCTAGGAAACCTGAGAACGGAAAAATGTACAAAATGTGCTTAACAACATCATGGGAAATAGGGAGGAATGGAATAGAACACTAAACAAAGCTATTCATGTGGTCATTGTTAGCAAGCGACATGAACAGAACAGGTAAAGGGAGCGCCAGGAGAAGGTGGACACAAATGAGCAGAATTAAGGAAGATTGTGCACGATGTTGTTATGGGCACTTGGTGTGACAAGGAGATCGGCATGCTGGAGGGTATTATTACTGTCGAAAATTTAGTAGTGGCAAAAAGAGAGAGTGATTTATAGTTCTGCTTCGCAAAATTGGGCAAACATTAAATAAATGCATCAGACACTCCATTTACTTTGCAGTTCTGTCACAGTTATTATGGAAACGCTCTTCTGTCTGTAGGAATGTTGATTCTCCGTCTTCCGCCTTATCCAGGAAAATGTGTATGGTTGTTAGAACTCTAGGTAGGATCGTCGAATCAAGACCTATTCTATTAGGCCTTAAATGCTTGCATAAAATTTAACTTGATTACTACTTACCTCACTGAAAAAACCATGTAGCCTTCAAGTTAAAAAAATATTGAAGTAAGATGTGTTTTGCGGAAAGTTCTTTTACTCAAAGAAGGTATATTATGACGGTCAAAAATAGGGATATAAAGGAAAAACATTTGCAGTGTATACTTCACTAGTCGAAAAGGGAGATCGAACTGGCATATTTCTTAAGGTTCAAGGGAATTTCACCACACACATATAGGAACTTCTCCAAAAGTCGTTTACAAGCCTTATTATTTTACCAGCTGAAAGTTACAAATTCAAAAAGTAGGTCAGCACATTTCAATGCCTATCGAGTTGTTTCATGTTGCTTCCCTGCAGGCAGGGCACTGCCTAAAATAATAGAGAAGTGAGGATGAGATTAATGAGAAATTGTTCTCTTTCATCCTGCTGGACGCTAATTAGATTGGAGTGGTGCGACAACCAAGCTGTACAATGAGTCCGGTAGTCCGTTTGTCAGCAGAAACTCTGGGCAGAGCAACCTACGCCAAGCCATTGTCTGCAAGCTGCGAAAAACCGTCTGTTGCACGCCTTGATGCACTTTGCAGCATGCAGATTGCAGGGGGGTGGGGGGAAGACGGGGAGGGAATCAGTCCCGTCTCCATCGCTTCCCTCCACCCCATCCGGCCACTTCTTTCTCCCTCTTGGTGAGTCTGACTCCTCCTTGGCTCAGTCTTGCGTGCGTAAAATAGCTCTGCGTGTGCGTACAAGCAAGCAGACATGTTAAATGCGCGGTGATCCTTCGGGCTGCTTTCCCAGACAAGAAAACTATCCACAGGCAGTCATTACGCCCAGATCAGACAACGGATGGTTTACTACCAGCGCATCACAGCCCCGCTCCACACACACGTATGTGCGATCGTGCTCGTGAACTCGGTGCGGCCATCGTGCGAAAGAGAGAGAGGTGGGTGTTTTTCTTCCACAGCCGGATGGCGTCGATTGTACGCTCGGCCAGACAGGCAAGGAATCAGGCGGAGATGTGGGGGATGAGTGTCGATGGCTCGAGAAAACTGAAAGTCCCGACGGAAAACAAACTGTGATGGTGACAGTGATTACCTGGAAGAGGGGGGAGCGGGTGGTGGCTAAGCCGTATTGCCTTCTCGAGCATACCAGAAAAGAGCATTTACAAGAATGGCTATCAGTCCGAAACTGGGCAACAGCTTCCATCTACAGATGGATGATTTGATGGCTGTTTCTTTTAGTACTGCTACAATTGTCGTCTATGCTTCCACCCCTGATGCCACCCCTTCTGTCCCTGATGCTGTCGGTGTTGTTGCAACCATTGCTGTCTCCATTGCTGATGCTGAGTGGGAGAAATCCAAATGCATAAACCTCCTTAGTTCCTGTATTCTGAGGTAAGAATCTGTATCCACCACCCAAAACGTACTCAATTAATTTTTGTATTGCGTGAGCACTCCTCTCACCGTTCTTGTAATCAACAAGACACTTGTGCTCACTTCTTGGTGAAAGGAGAAAAGTTGCAATGTGCTTGTTACTGAATGTGTAGGAATTTGTTTTTACAAAAACCTGTTTCATTATGCCAGTAATGTAGAGGAAGCTTCAGGTATTTAGGAACAAAACTGAACACTGGGAAAGTAAAAATGTGCAAGTATAAAAAACTTATATATATATATATATGTATATGCATTGGATCCTATCTACATGTTCGTGCAAACATCACAATAGGTTATTCAACAAAACCGTCATCAACGCCTACGCGTCTTTTGAAACGACTGCATGCGTTGAGCTGTTGGCAATAAAGTCTTCGATAGTGGCCTTCAAGAAATCCATCGGTATGGTGAGTAAGTTTGTTTGTCTCTTTCTTAACAGCTCCCCAGACATACCAGTCAACTGGGCATCAACTGGACGACCCAGGAGGCCAAATGCTGAGAGTGAAGTGGCCTTTCTCCCGCACACGGGCTGAACGTCCGAATCTGGTGTATTGGGGTTTAGCTAACGCCTGTCTAATATTAACATTTGTTATTCAAAAGTAAAGTCAAAATTAAGGGAGGCGGGAACAGTCATTCATGGTTTAGTGTTCGTCACTAACCCCATCCAAATGAATCGCACCATTCCCAATCGAAGCCGCTGGGGGTTGATCCGTTATTCAGTAGCAGAGGATTTCCCTTGATGTTCAGTCGTTTTTCAATCTCGGTCTTCGCAGGTCTAGGGTTAATGTATGCTTGACCGATGACGGTAACTAACCCATGAATGTATTTTCAGTCTTCTTCGTCTTTGTTGAAATCTCTCCCCCTCCATTGTTCGTCACCATGTAGTCGCCTGAAATGGCTCCGATATGAAGGTCATAGCTAAAGTAGAACGAGCACGCAACTTTGATTAGATCGTTGAAGAGAGATTCCAACGTGAACAAGTGTGCATTCACTAGGTGTACCAATAATGGTGTTGCCTGTGTAAACTTTTTGTTTCCCGACTAGTATTTTACTCTAAGGTCTGTTGGTCAAGTAAGTCCCGAAGCGATAAGTACGGATTCAGTAATTGTATTTAATGGCCGCTAACCGATTTCAGGCGATATCAACGTTTCAAACTTGAACGTTTTTCGGGAGTGTCTAACATTCTACTCGACAGACAGATCTTAGTAATCGCAACATTTCGCAGGTAAGGTTTCCGAGTCAGCTGCCTTTGTACAGAAGACCTGCGTCAATACTTTTGTCTGAATTGCCTGAACTGCATTGATAGGATCTAGCTATGGGTTCTCAGTTGACGTTTCCAAGGGCAATCTCTGGTTTAACCGTTGTGATTGGTAGAAACGGCATTTTATGCAGGCATTTACGCCGAAGATTGTCAGACATTGCCTAGTTGGACTGAATCTCGTGGAAAAATCCTCTGCTAGTATAAAAATGGATTTAGACATCGGGCTTACTGACTACCTGTGCCCGCGCCGTTCAAGAAAACCCTGAGGAAGAATTCTACGCATTTTACCTGCATCAGGACAGCTGAAAATCAGACGGTAGGTCTTACTTCAGATTCCGTACATTCAGCAGTGTAAATTATGGTTCTCGTTAGTGTAAAGAAAACCGCGCATTTTCTAACTACAGCTTTATAACCGTATTATTACCTTCTTAAGACGTAAACAATCAGTGTAGCGGGCGCTAATTAGGCCACAAACAACCCAGTTCGAAAGGGGCTTTCAGCTTGCAAGGCGTCCAAAAGCCAGGACATGGAGCATGATTGCTCCTCCGGCTGCGTTGAATGAAATGCATATTGATGTGCTCCTTGTTATTCAGGACAGAAACCTTTAAGGATTGGACGAATTTTCGACCAAAGACAATCCGAAAAGGTTACGAATTTTAAATTGGTATTTGAGGGGTCCAGATGGCAAAATGGCATGTACACAATGAGCACACTTTTATTGTTTATTCTTGTATTGGGGCCCTAAATATTCCCTGTCCAAGGTTGTATTCGACCATTTTAAACGCATATAATAATTTTAATGTGTCTCAAACAACTTGGTGGCAAGGCGAAGGCGACAAAGCATGCAGAATTTAATGACGTCATAAATTTCGAGACCTCTCATTCAGCTGCACACGGTCATTGCATAGTTATATTACAAGGCAAAACTGTTCAATCAACGATCGACCTAGAGAGCTAAAACGTG